AGTACAGGTAGTCCTCAATGTACAATCACAACTGAGCCCAAAATTTATGTTGTTAAGTGAGATGTTTTTAAAGCGAGATTTTCCCCATTTTACAACCTTTCTTGCCACAGTTGTTAAATGAATCACTGCAGTTGATAATTTAGCAACCTGGTTGTTAAGTGAATCTGGCTTCCCTATTGACTTTGTTTGTCAAAAGTTTGCAAAAGGGGATCCTGTGACCTTGGTATACAGCAATGGTCATAACTATGAATCAGTTGCCAAACATCTGAATTTTGATCACGTAATCATGGTGATTCTACAAAGGTTGTAACTGTGAAAAATGGTCATGTCACTTTTTTTCAGTGCCATTGTAACTTTGAACAGTCATTAAATGAACTGTTGTAAATTGAGGATTAGCTCTACTGCTTTACTTGATCTCATTTTTAGACACTACTGCTCTGTTAATAATGGATTAGATAATGTGATGCATAGTTTTCTTTCCTTTACACTTCCAAAAGAATTCGGATGAGGGATTAGAAATTCATGTTGCAACTCCTTGCTTGATCCTCCGTATCACAGGCAATTGTTTGTTCAACCTAACAGCTCTAGTTGCCAAAATAGGAGAAGTCAGGTTAGGATATAGAAAGACATTGCTCCAGAAGTTTCATTCATCTGAGCCCAAGACACTGATTCTGCTAATTCTAATTAAAAGACAAATAAATGTCAGATTTCAATCCTGTAATAGTTCCACCATCAATGCTTCCACAAAACATTACGTTCCTTCTAAATCATAACTTTAATTTTGATATGTTTTTTTCTCCAATCTCAAACCCCTTTAGGTTATGCTTGAGAATTATTAGGAAACAAAGAAGTCATATTAATGACTTTCTATTGGTGAGGGGGAATGACCTCAAAGCTTAAACCTTTGCCATAAGGCAATCTTCTGTAAACACTATAGAGACTCAGGCCCAAATGCTTTCAGTTCACACATGTCAGCCATAAACTGGGATTATGCTAGACTCCCACATCATCCAAAACAAAAAGACAACACACACTTCAAAGCAACATCTGAACCTGAATCATCATACAGTGCCCAAGATTTACTTGCAAGGAAAATTTCCAAGCTCAAATCCCACGAAAATAATTTATCTTGTTAATATTTTCCAACAAGTCACTCATACTATGATGAGATGAAACTGGTAGCAGCAACGATCATCAAAATGGACAGACCAGTTTCAATGGCCAAACTTTGTAGAGGAGGGATGACATAATACTCTTAAGGTTTGGAAGTTAAAAGTGTCATACAGAGTCCACACATGTCTTAGGCTCACCAGATCTGGGCTTATAACAACCAAATACTCACTACAGGGCATGGCATCAAAGAAACTCAGAAAATTTTGCAAACCACATCTGGGATATCTAGCTAATTAGAAGGAGTAATAGAAAGAAAAACTATCACCTTACCCATTTTCAGGAGCTAAATACAGGAAGTCCTCCACTTACAGCAGTTCATTTACTGATTGTCTGAAGTTACAACAGCACTGAAAAAATGACGTGACCGGTTTTCACACTTAAAACCGTTGCAGCATCCACATGGTCATGTGATCAAAATTCAGGCACTTGGTGACTTGTATTTATGGTGGTTGCAATGTCCCAGGGTCACCTTTTGTGACCTCTTTACAAGCAAAGTCATTGGGGAAGCCAGATTCACTTAACAACCATGTTATTAACTTAATAACTGCAGTGACTCACTTAACAACTGCACCTAGAAAGGTGGTAAAATTGAGCAAAGTTCACTTAACAGCTGTCTTGTTTAACAACATAAATTTTGCACTCAGTTGGGGTTATAAATCAGGGACCACTTCTAGTTCAATATACCGTACTGTTAAAATAGAACAATTAAAGTAAGAATAACAGTCAGCTCCGATTAATAACCCAAACAAAACTAAAGACCAAAATCTTACTATAATAATACCAAATTAAATCTGCTTCCTCGACATAAGGTAGATTGGGGCTGCCCATACTTCTGGGGGAGAGGAAAGAGTTATACTATGGGGACTTCTGCCTGATCTACACAAAGAAGGGAACCTCCCTCCACTAGCTTTGTCTGGGTGTCCAAACTGAATGGACTGATACTATATTAAGAGTTTCCTGTATAATCCAATGCTATGCTGCAATGGCTGAATTTGTATAACCCAAGACATTATGCCAAACCGAGCAAAACCCTTCACTTTTAGCATGACATGGGGACCCCATCTTTGTTGTTTTAAGCACAGTGGATTCATCAGGTTACTTCTCTAGAAGCAGAAATCTGAGTCAACTCATTCAGAAGTGCCTGGTAGAACTGCATTACATTTGAGAAATGAACAACGTGCTAAAAGAAAGCAATACACCCAAGGAAAGCAGCTAAAGACAGGGCAGGACAAGCTTTGCCCAACCTACCAAACCAGCCTGCTGAGTGTTCTTAGCTTTGCAATGTCCCTGTTCATTCAAATGTTCACCAAAGGACAGGGGTAACTTCATCTTTGTACTTTTCTTAGTGGTAAGAGGGAGGGAGGGAGGGAGAGATTGTCAGATCAGCCTGGCAATAAGCCATGTCCTATGTCCCACTGCTATCTGAGCCAAGATTGGTGAGTTGTACAAGAAAAGTAGAGCTTTTGTGGCCATTCTACCTGGGAAGACAGAAAATTCTGCCTTGCTTTCATGTTCTGTACATAGGAGGAGCTGTTATCCTATGGAGATACTTATGGGTTGTACACAAAAGACTCTGGATTCAATTCCTGATATCTCCAAGAGGAACAGAAAAGGCCACACATTTGAATGATAGTTGCTTCACAGTTGCTTAATTCAAAGATGGGAAATTTTTGAGGGGGCGGGGGTCACAAAAGGAAACAAGTCCAGAGACTTGATGAGATTGTACAGATGGGCATCCTGATCATTCGAAGCCTACAACTGATTTGTTTTCTAAGGGTTGTTTGTTAAGCAGAGGCCTAAGGTATCCATTTGTATCTGTTGCTGGAAAGTAGCAAACAAAAAACAAAAAGGCAAGATTAACAACAAATAAAATTGTGGCCAGGCCTGTAATATGATTGTGAAAGGGCTTGTGAAGAGAGTCAACGTAAGCCTTACAAGAGGCTCATTCCTGCTCTATTTCATGATGTGTGAGGTAGGGTTCAATTACATGACTTCACACACAACACTCAGTCATAAGACTTGGTGAATAAAACAAAATTTCTGAAGTTACCCAGCAGATTATCTCAAAACAAAATGATCTGGATTTGGCTGATATGCTAATCCAGTCAATACTGAGTTAAAAAGGGCCACAAATATGACCTTAGAAACTTAAATGTTTCCAGGACAGAATAGTGGATATTAAGTGTTTTCAGCATTCCTTTTAGCTACTCTATTCCAGTACTACTGCTTTTATTTTATTTGAGTTCAGTATTTTTTTTCCTGTGGGTTAGTCACCTCGGATGTTTAAAACAGGCAGTAAAGTGGGCTACTAAAGCTGGTAAAATGAATTTAAAGAATAAGGAGCTCTCCTCCATCTTATATAATCTGGAAGGTTTCCTCTCTCTCTCTCTCTCTGTGTGTGTGTGTGGTTTTTGTTTTTTTACTGGATGCTTTTCTCACAAACCCTCTAGAAAGCTCCAGGACAAAAAGACTGGCAGCATCTTTAGAAGCAGAGGTGGCAGCAGTAATAACAAAGCAAGTTAGCAATGGGCTGCAGAAAGGAGCTGCTCTCTCCATTTGCAGCATTCATCCACCCTGACCAATAAAAAACACTTAAATATTTTAAAAGTTTAAAAACAAGACTTAAGAAGGCAAAAGACCACAACGGATATACAAAACAGAAGAAAGATGCAATCAAAAGTAAAAACTCCTCCCCCCCTCCCATAAGATCTCAAGATAGCATTCAACTAGCCGGAACAGATTAAATTGAGCAAATAATGGAACAGAAGGAGCCAGTGGCTTTATCTTGGGCCCTGCCATGCTCTCTTAGCCTGGAACCTCAGGTTGTGGGGGAGGACTCAAAACAACAGCAGGGACTCTGAAAAGGGGCATCTTTTCAGCTTGCAAAACTCCAGCTTTCAGACACCAGATTTGACTGAAACCTTGCAGATGATTTCACAAGCCATAATCCTTCACCAACTTGAAAGCTAATGAAACCTGATAGAGCTGCTCAGTAATACTTGACTTTCATCCCTTCCAGCAGAGTGCTGGGGGTTTCTCCTGCTTGCTTTCTGCAGTTCTGTGACAATTGCAGTTTGCCCAACAACAGACAAAATTCCAGGGGCACTATGGCCAGCATCAAAACATGACGAAAAGAGAAGTTGAAAGCCACACCACTCTTCATGCCCCCCCCCAAGTGCCCCCTATTCCCAGATGATGATCAAAATAACCACCAAGGGGACAGTCCCTGGCACACACCTGGGCTATTAGCTGATGTCTTCTGCAACCACCCCACCCACAACCCAACCCCGCTGGAGGCGGCCCCGTCGTTAAAAGGCAGGGGCAACTTCCTGACCACACAGCCCCAAGGTGGCAGCTTCGGTTGCCATGGAGACTCAATTTCTCCTTCCCCCCCTCCCCCGCCTATTTCGGGGCACACACCTTCGCTTCCAATCCCCAAACCCAACGGACAAGATCCGGAGCAGCACAAACAACCCCCCAACTCAGCCAGGGGGTCGGGATAAGGCAGCAGAGCCAAACCCGGAGCGTGCGGAGCTCAGTTCCCGGTCCACGAGCCCACCCGGGAACCCCGAAGGGGCAAAACCAAAGAAAGGCGGCTCCGGAGGAGAAGAGCTTGCAATCCAAAGGAGGGAAAGGTCCTCCTGCCCAACTGGAGCCCCCCCACCCCCACCCCCCCCCGGATCCAAAACCCCCCCCCCCCCCCCCCCCCAGCGGCAAACCCCCCCCCCCCCCCCCCCCCCCCCCATCCCCCCCGTTTTCCAAGCGCCTCGGCGAAAGAGCCCCGGGGCGTCCGGCCAGCCACGTTAAAATGGCCCTGGACAATTTACCTCACGGACTGGGGGCCTCTCTGCCTGGCGGAGCAAGAAGGAAGCTCTGGGGGCGAGCCGCTCTCGCTCTCTGTCGTCTTCTTCCTCGGGAGGCCGGGGGGGGGGGGGGGGCCCCGCCTTTCCCTTACAGCTGCTTCTGTCCCGGTTCCATGGTAGCCGCCCGCCTTGGCTGCGAGGCACGGAAGAGGGTGACGGGGATGGCGACGGCCCGGGCGGACTGAAACAAAGCCCCCCCCCCCCCCGTGCAGGCGACAGCGGCGTCGTCTAGCTACTGCTGTGGCTGAAGCGCCAGCCCTACGAGCACCGCGCAGTTCCCCACCTCCATTCTGCCTGCGCCTTCACCTCGCCCCGCTCCAATTGCACAATAGAGCCGGGTCAGCCTCATCAATATTCATCGCCCTCCCCCCTCCCCACTCCGCCGACGCTTAGACAAGAGCAATGGAGCTCCTATCTCTCCGGCTCGCGAGGAAAGGGACGGAAGGGGAGGGGTGAGAGAGAGAGAGAGCGCTTCCCTTGGCGCCCTACACCTATTGCATCGGATTGCAGGTGACGTGCGTGCGTGCGTGCGCGCGGCGGAGGAGGCGGCGGCGGCGGCTACGTGAGATGCTGGGGGGGGGGGGGGGAGGAGGCAGCCCCCCGCGGGAACTCACCTCCCTTCGGGCCACGCGAAGGGAAAGCGCAGACAAAGGGCGAAGGAGAGCCGGCTGCCGCCCTGCCTCCCTCTGCAGCCCCCGCTCCGCAAAGAGGCAGGCTGGGCGTGGACGCTCAGGGCGCACTGCTTCCGCCCTTCGGCCGCTTGGGGTTCCCCGGGAGCGCGTTGCGAGCCCCGAGCGCTGTCCTACGTTGGTGGGCGGGGGGGGGGCGGTAGTGGGGTTGCCTCGCACCTCAGGCAGTCAGGCGGGACGGGAAGAGAAGCGATGGGGCTGGCTTGGTGCAAAGCGGCCGAAGCGGAGAGGTATAAAACTGGCGGGGCAAAGCTCGGTGCAGCCCTGGATGCGGTCAGGTGGCAAAGGCCGGACGGGCGTTGTGCCTCCCGAGAGGAGAAGCCGCGCGCTGAACTCGATCGGATCTGCGGACTTTGCGGGGTTACTGGGCCAGGAAGGAGTGATGTCCCGTAATAGGTGTGCTTCTCCAACCAGGCGTCCTCCGTATCAGTCTCCCATAATCTGCCCATTAATGTAGAGCAGGGGTCCAACCTTGGCAACTTTAAGACCTCTGTGGACTTCAACTCCCAAAATTCCACAGCCATAATTCTGGAGTTGAACTCCACATGTCTTAAAGTTGCCCTGGTTGGACACCCCTCATGTTGAGGATGAAGGCAGCCCACAGTTCCCAGCCATACACCGGTTTGTGAAAAGGGGCCTAGAAAAGAATTGCAGTATGTGTGTGGGACAAACTGTAACACGACACTTCATCCGAAGAACCACTGAAGATGTAATCTAGCCTGGTAAGAAAACGTTTGGAAACTAAATAGCAAACTCGGAGAACAACCTGCACCAACATCTACCAGCCAAGCTACAAATATTTTCTATCATTTCAGGATTGCAAGTTAAATTTCAGTAACAACCGAGGGTCCCTGAAGTTACCTAAGGATCAGAATAAGAATTGGGTAGATCTGGAAGCTTCACATTGGTTGTTTAATTTTTAAAGGCAGGTTTTAATTTGATTTTGTGAAGAACCAGGTTCTTAACATTGCAATAAGCTGTGATGCAGTTGGTGTGAGAATCTAAGGCAGTGTTGGCGAATGTTTTCCGCACGAAGTACCCAAACGGGAGTGCACATGGGAGAGCGCCGGAAACCGTAACCTCAGCTTCCCAGTGCATGCATGTGCGCCAGGAAGCTGCTCTTCCGGTTTCTGGTGCTTCCGCATGCGTGAAGACCAGCTGGCCAGCGTGCATGCGTGCGCCGGAACCCGGAAGAATAATGGGCAACAGCTGGCATGCTCGGAGAGATGACCCTGCATGCCACTTCTGGCACGTATGCCATAGGTTTGCCATCACAGATCTAAGGGATCAAAACAGTTTTACTGGAAGATTATAAGAGGCAGTGCACAAAAGACAGTAGGATCCATACCATTAGGAATACTTTTTTTCCACTTTGTTGCCATTACAAAAAAAGGGGAGGGAGGGAATCAGCTTTTGTGAGTTTCATTGGATAAATTTGATGAAGTGCAGTGCATCACATGAAAGTTGATGCTTTTAATATGCCACTTGGCTGTTACTTACTTACTTATTTATTTTATTTATTTTTTCTATAGACTGACATAACTCCTACATAATGATTTCCGCAAAAGACAGAATGCAGGTGTCTTGCTGCAAGCCAAAGGCTTCTCTAAAGCCAGCTTCCAACAGTGGCTGAAATGTGCATTTCCCCACTTCTTCAAGAGGCCAAATTCTAGCAGCACCATGAAGCTGCTTAGAACTTTCCTTAGTGCTTTCCTCTCCAGGAATGCTGCTATTTTATATCCAGGAATGGAGAGCTATTCTGATCAGTGTGAGGCATTACAGATAATTCTCAACTTACGACAGTTCATTTAGTGACCTTTCAAAGTTACAATGCCACTGAAAAAAGGGACATTTTCATATGATCGTTGCAGCCTCTCAGTCAGAAATGGTATTCAGGTTCTGACCAGTTCTGGAGAACCGGTAGCGGAAATTTTGAGTAATTTGGAGAACCGGCAAATACCACCTCTGACTGGAGATTTTACAGTATCCTTCCCTTGCCATGCCCACCAAGCCACATCCACAGAACCGGTAGTAAAAAAAATTGAATCCCACCACTGATCTCAGTAGCCACCTGATCAAACTTCAGGTGGTTGGCAACAGACTCATATTTATGATAGTGGCAATGTCTTAGGGTCCCCTTTTGTGACCTTTTGACAAGCAAAGTCAATGGGGAAGCCAGGTTCATTTAACAACCATGTTACTAACTTAACATTTGCAGCTATTCACTTAACAAACGTGGCAAGAAGACTCATAAAAGCGGGCAAAACTCACTTAACAACTGTTCCATTTAGAACAGAAATTTTGGGCTCATAAGTCAAGGACTGCTCATGTTCCCAGTCAATAATGTTGTCTAACATCACAGAACGAGAGGGTAGATTTTTTTCTCTCCAAAAAGTTGCCATCCAGATGCACTGGACTCCGAGTCCCATAATCCCCCAGGCTGCAGCCATAAAGTTACACCCAATTTACATGTATTTATAAGAGTTCTTTGGATTAGTGATTAATATATAAACATCGTGTTTCACCCCCTGGAAAAGAACAAAACAATTAAAAAAGCAAAAGCAACTAGACAAGTGATGGGAGCCTGGAGGTTGGGATGGCAGGGAGTGGCCCTGTTTAGTGGCGTCACCAACATAATTTAGCAGGTGCCCATGAAACTCACATAACTGCATTCCACCCTGCCCTCCAAATGGCAAAACGTCCGTATGGAGAAACTACTTTTTTCCCCCAGTGAAAGTAATTTTTTTGGAGTAATGAGCAGAAGGAGAGAAGAAGTTTGGATACCATGCAACAAATGATGTACCCCACTGCAACTAGCATGCAAATGATAGAGTTATTCTTTTTTCTATCTCTGTTTTTCTATTCTGACTGTCTAACTCTAAACCAATATTTTTCAAACTTGGAAACCAACTCCCAGTCAAATTCCACACATCTTAAAAGTATGTTTGGCTGAGGAATTCTGGGTGTTGAAGTCCACACATCTTAAAGTTGCCAAGATTGAAAAACACTGCTCTAAACCTTTGAACAAGGCTTGCTAGCAAAGTAAATTCAACCACTCTTGGTAGAAAATTGAGGCAAGAGTCAGCTTAGTGACATTTCTGCCTAAAGATCAAGTGGCTTCTTTTTCAAGCAAGTGAAAGCACATTAGCTATTGGGTAAGCAATAACTTGGCTATTCATTTCTTAAACTGAACCAGGATTTTTTTTCTTTAGAAGCAAAGTTCTAGTTAGTACTATCCCAGCAGCTTGGTGGTTATATGCAGTGATACTTCTGTGGAGCAGATTTGGTTTCTTTAAATGCATCCCTAGATTCAACAAGGGAATTAATGCATGTTTTATCATCTTGAGAAGAAAGACTTCTTAAAACGATTTAAGTGTCAAATCTAAAAGTATCTTAGTTGCTGGCTCACAACTAGAGAAAATACAGATATTCCTCAACTTATGACCACAATTGAGCCCAAGTTTTCAATTGTTAAGCGAGAGATTTGTTAAGTGAATTTTGCTCCAATTTACGACTTTTCTTGCCACAGTTAAGTGAATTGCTGCAGCTGTTAAATTAGTAGCATGGTTGTTAAGTGAATTTGGTTCCCCATTGACTTTGCTTGACAGAAGGTCATAAAAGGGGATCACATGACCCTGGGACACTGCAACCATCATAACTATGAACAAACTGCCAAGCATCTGATTTTTGATCATGTGATCATGGAGTCATACGGCAACTGTCATACGTGAGAAAACTGGTCATAAGCCACTTTTTCAGTGCCCTTGTAGCCTTGAATGGTCACTAAACTGTTGTAAGTTGAGGACTATCTGCAATTATACAGAAAGATAGAAAAAGAAAGGAAAGGAAAGGAAGAAAGAAAGAGAAAGAAAAAGAAAGAAAGAAGAAAGAAAGAAAGAAAGAAAGAAAGAAAGAAAGAAAGAAAGAAAGAAAGAAAGAAAGAAAGAAAGAAAGAAAAAGAGGAGGAAAGGATGCAGCAAATGGGCCTCTACCTTCCCTCACCCTGCGGTACAGAAACCAAGTACACAATGGGATGAGACTACTGATGGATACTTACCTCCAAATTCCAGGATTTAATCTCTCAGGACTTGTAGGCAAGGGGTTTGGAGATCATAGGCCTTTGTAAGGGAGAGTTATCAGAAAAGGAGACAATGCAATTTATTTGCCTAAGAAAGGGCAAGAAGTAGGTAGCTCACCCACCCATCTCCTGGTAGATCACTAGGCCTTAGACCTCTTGCTGAACAATATTCCCCATCCTAACCTATATTCCTGAAATACTGTAAAGAAAGCTTGGGATAAATAAGATTTTTCCCCTTCTGGGTATTCAACCAATTCCTGGCTTTAGAATTCTTTTCAGTCTGCTTTATGCAACAGGCTAGGATTGTTGACTGATCTTAAAAGCACCAAAGGGGAGAAAAACAGTACACTTTGCATTGGAAAAGAGAATTGATTGTTATTATATTGGATTACAGGTAGTACTCAACTGAGCTGAAATTTATGTTGCTAAGTGAGACATTGGTTAAGTGCTCCATTTTACGACCTTTCTTGCTATAGTTCTTAAATGAATCATTGCAGTTGTTAAATTAGTAACATAGCTGTTAAGTGAATCTGACTTCCCCATTGACTTTGCTTGTCAAAAGGAGCCCAGGACATTAAAACCATCACAAATATGAGTC